AAAAATGATTTTAGAAAAGTTTTAAGTGTTAAATCTCGACATGAAATACACCACTCAGATGCACCTGATGGAGACGACCATCTTTGTGACATTTACAGATCATTTATAGATGCTTCCCGGAGGTCCCAACTTGACCGGTCTCCTGATGTATACGACCAGGCGTTTCTTTGATGCCAGGGAGCTGTCATTTAGAGAAATCTGTTTTGACTTAATGACAGGTCCTGTTTTTAATACATAGATAAGTCCAAATCTTCTTCCTTTACCTCGACTTGGTGACCGATTCTTCCGTGTCATTGCTTTGGGTAACACAAAATCTCAACTGAAGGGTTGTAACACGAGAACAAGGTTTTTATTCTTGCTCGCTCTGCTCGTCATCGCCATCATCGGCGGCTGAGATAGATTCCGTGTCACTATCTGCTTCAGGTATGTCTACACGAGTCAGAATGTCTTTCATCACAGTTTTCGTGAAACGAGCGATCTTGTTTTTGATAATAGATTGATCAGTGCCAGGATTCATATCGCTCAGGCTGTCTAGGATGGATTGAAATAGAGGCGCCTGTCTAAAATATTGGGCGAACTCTATAACACTTTTGAGACTGTCGGTCAATTCGCTTTCCCACATCTGTTTCATTTTTCTGTCAATCCATTCTTCTGTTCGACTCTGTTGTCTGTACTTTTTCCTCTTGAGTTTCATTGCGTCGTGCTTGATGTTGTACACACGATTCCAGATGCGTTGTAAACCAACATTTTGCCGCTCCTCCGCATCCACATCGTTTTTTGGCGGCTTCCAGCGACGACGACGTTTGACAGCGAGACCTCCACCTTTCTGTTCAGGAAGTCGTTCCTCATCGTCGTCACTGTTGTCGTCACTCTCGTATCTGAGACGTTTTCTTTTGCATTTCAAGCCGTCGTTTGCTGGACACCACAATCTGATATGTCGCTGTAGATCGTGCATATTGTCTATCAATACGCTGCAGTCGGTACCCCCAGTGGCCATGGTAAAAGGTCCTGTGTCGTCACTCGAGATGGATGCTGTTTCAACGTCGTCGTCGTCAGAGCTTAGAGACCTTTCTTTGGAAACTGAAGTGTGATCAGCACGAATGTCAGGAGCTGTCTGCACGTCTAATGCTAGAGAGACATCTTTTACCCGTTGTTGTTGTTGTTGTTGTTGTTGTTGTTGTGAAGCACTGTGATCAGGTTGATTGTCGCTGGTTGTCAAGACGTTGACATGTAATCTATTCTTCTCACTTGTACCTGGTTTGAGATCCACTGTAAGGTGTCCATAAGGGGTTTCAACAGCCCTTTCATAAAGAGTCATAAATTTACCAATGTCTTCAGGAAATATTCTTCTGGCGAATAACTTCACCTGCTGTCTGTCCACTGGCGAATTGAAAAGTGTGACATAATGAGAATTTAGAGCAATGTCCCTAGATTCCTTACCTCTCGGGAAGAGGTTTTGCAATAGCAAAAAGATAATGACATTTTTGTGGTGGGAGGTTTGGGTAAACAGACGGGAAATCCGATTGTCATTCTTTGCTTCAGACAAAAAGTCATCCAACACCATCATGTTCTGATTACGGGCATCGAAGAAGTTTTCATCTTCGAGATTGTAAGGTATTCCTTTCACAAACCGTACTTGAGGTAAAGTTTGAAGAATGCTATCGTAAAGCGGTTGCCACACAGTATAACACCAGACAATACAGTCGGGCAGGGGTTGAACGAATCCACGACGTAATAGGTTGAGGAGGGTGTTTATCGAGAGGAGGAGGAGGAGGAGGAGGAGGAGAAGGGTGTTTATCCAGAGGAGTAGTAGGATGGTGTTTATCCAGAGGAGGAGGGGGAGGAGGAGGGTGTTTATCCAGAGGAGGAGTAGGAGGGTGTTTATCCAGAGGAGGAGGAGGAGTAAGGTGTTTATCCAGAGGAGGAAGAAGAGAAGGCGAGTCTTGAGTTGACTTGTGCACCTGCTTCTGATGTCTCTGTAGATTATATTTTCGCGTAAAACTCTTGTCTCAGTCAGGACAGGTGGTAACCTCCATAGTGATCAAATACAATAAGTGCGCGATGAGAGGGTCTGAAGCATTCTTTTATTTCCTTCAGCCATGCGACGCTTCAAGGCAGGTCGGATTCGTTTCACAACAGCCTTTACTCTCGACACGGGTTGCATTTTCAGTATAGTCATTTTCGCTTTCTTGGTTGTCATCTTTTTCTTCTTAGATGCAACCAGTCTCTTCGGCAACCCCTTTGATGCCATTGATTTTCTCCGACATGTTTTTTTCGACTTCCCCTTACTATGCTTTGTGAAAATGACTGTAGGTCCAAATATATCCTCTGAAACTCTCTTCATTTTGAAAACGGACGTCTTATATGTCAGCAAGGTTAGAGTGAAAATGTCAGTCACTCAACACTACCGTTGAGTTTTATAACACATATTGACATAGATCACACTCTTATTCCTGGGCTGATTATCTCAGCAGACGCAGCCCCCCCGAATGAGCAAGGAGAAAAGGTGCAAAAAGGCGGCAAAATTCAGTCGCAATAACATTCCATTTCGCGTGCGATGTCAAGTTTTCATATGAGGATATTCATTACTATCCATTGTTCTTTGTTAATGTAAGTAAATTGCATCTGGTCAGTTGACCCTGTATTCATCTAATTAACCTGATACATCACTTATACATTTACATATTAATGAGTTATCTTGCATATTAATGAGAGATTGGTGACCTAAGTTTCCATATAAGGATAATTATTCATTACTATCCATTGTTCTTTGTTAATGAATGCTCAAGTAATCTTATCATTTAGAAGTTATCTACTAAACTACGTTATTTCTACTATTTTTTCTCATGAAAATGATTCTGGGTATGGGTTAAACGAGTATTTTTTCCATTGAAATAGGAAACTGAACCGACATTTTGAACTCAAACATCTTTTAGAAAAAAGAATAGAATTTTACAGTATTAAAACGTCATATACCAGACTGGCATACATTACAGTCTTCAACACACGGGTTTCGCGATACCGACTCTATAGTTCTCCGAGCTGACCTCTAGCTAGGAGTCAAGACTGTTAACCCTTATTTTTTTTATAGTTGTCATGGCAACTGTTTGTTAAAAGGAACTTATAATAGGTAACACTAGAAGAGTTAAAAACTGGACATGTGGTTTCTATGGAAATTCAACTCAAACCCCACTTTGCCACATGTGACAGTCATTACTACGCGAAATCTATGCATCAATGAAATATGTCTAACAATGACATTCCTTTCCCCGTGAAACACATTTGAACCTCGTAGTAGCCACTTCCATATAGGGACACTCATTACTACGCTTTGTTCTCACTTAATGAAAGGACTCATTAACACACTGCATTCGTGCATTGGAACAACAGACCTCTCATTACCCTTTCTGGCCTGTGACGTCATGATTATATTTGACTATAAATGAGTTAATGCACTTGCGGATCAACTTAGTCTCATATCGCTTTGTGGAATGGGGCCCCATAGAACTGACTTGTAGGTCAGGCGCGAGATTCAAACCGAGGACACGTGACGCCCGTGAGCGTTCATGGTAACGTCCGCCATCTTGTTTTTAGACACGTGTTGTTCTACGTTTAACGAATGGTCAAGTAATTAATTGCAGGATTGCATCCAATCAGTTGACCCTTAATGAACGTAATTGAATATCGGGAGATCTTTCTATGTGAACCTGTTCCTGGGCTTTTAAATATTACCACACATGGCCCGCCATCGAATGCGCACAGAGAAATGTCTTCAATGCAAAAGGTTCAAATGTTCACCACATGTTCTCGCGCCAAAATGGTCTCACAATGACATTCCATTCCGCGTGAGTCAAGACCCAACCCAACCCCGGTCGTAGTATCATGTCCATATAGGGACATTCATTACTATCCCGTGTTCTACGGTTAACGAATGGTCAAGTCATTCATTGCATGATTGCATCTGGTCAGTTGACCCTTTATTAACCTAATTGACCTGTGACGTCATGCACACATTTGCATATTAATGAGTTATTCTGCATATTAATGAGGCAATGACGTTGACAACACCCCCCACCCTCAAGGTCAAGGTTATGTGACGTTATCAGTCACGTGGGGTTACTAGGTGCACTTGTGACGTCATCAAATGAGGATGTGAGGATGGATAGTTATTAAGTGTTATCTACTCACAAGGACATCCGGAGAATACAACAATGAATCATACATGCATGCAGGATATTTAGTTCTATTGTTATTTCTTCTGAGTGAGTTTCAAGGATGAGTACATTTCAGATTTTAAACTCGCGAACTTTCTTGGAGATTTGTTTTATTTCAAGATACCCAGTATCAATAACCTTATCTTATGTTAAATCAAATCAGCATCGATACATCGAATGTCCATAGGCTCTTACTTATCCTTGTGACTGTTCACTAGCACGGGATAGCATAGTTATCTCACGCTGCGGTCTGAAATAATATCGTAAACAATATCAGTTGAATCATTTCACGGTGTAGCACTTAGACCAGTTGAGTTAAAGGTTGTTGTTGGAGTTGAACGTTGTTGTTGGAGTTGAACGTTTTTGTTGGAGTTGAACGTTGTTGTTTCTTTTGGTGCACGGTTATCGTCCTAACTTTGTTAAGAAATTACTTTAGGTTTCAGGTGTGTGATTGAACTGAATGACATTAACGTCGTAAAATGTGTTAGCCAATACATATCGCAACAATACGACATACTGGCGACATATCTGTCACGTCCCGCAACTGTGACGTGGCTCCCAGAAAGCCACATCGGCTTTGTGCTGTGTGGCGAGTTGGTGGTCATTGCTCCTTATGTACACATGGATGTTTTATCTTATTTAGTTTTCCTTCGGCATCATCCTTTCAGATTCTACATATTAGTCTTCATTACTTGCTTTGTCTGTCTATGATGAAAGAACATTGGGCGTTCTGCCCCAGGATCGCACCCATTGACCCGAGTCACGGAGGTATAAGAATGACGTCACGCTAAAAATAGCTTACCAGCGTAGTACATTACAGGTTGTGTTGCAATCTGGGAAAACCTTGGCTTAAGATAGACCAACGGTTACACATTCAAATGAGGACAGGTGTACATATCTATTAAGGTTGATGTAGTATGTTATGTGAACAATTTAAGTTGTATGTTTTAAAACTTTCTTTCTTGGGAAATGTATTTACCTACGGACGTCAGACAGTGTGGGATTCATTAATTCACCTTTAGCGAGGTGGACACACGCTATGTAAGCTGTTTTGTGTGTGTGTGTGGGTTTTTTTTCAAATATTCATATTTATGTTATGAAGACGCCTTGTCATAAAACTACTAGCATATCTAAAGTAAATGCGATAGTTTACATACAAACTGCTACGTAGTTGAAATATTGTTATAAGGTGTATCTATAGTGTTTTCATGCTGAGAGAAACTGCTTTGTTGATATGGTGACTCATCAGAGTGGTATGCGGGACGCTGCCCTTACATCTGTTCACCGTCTGTAGTGACCTATAGAAGAGCTGTGTAGTGATCCCTTGAAGAGTGTTTAAACAAGCTCAGACATGTCAGGGGTCTTTCAGTTGAGTCTATGATGTAGGGGTGATTCATTCATAAAACACGCCAGAGGTTCAGTCTAAGGACGTATAGTGGCCACACCTATCACCCCTCGCATGTATGCAATGGAAAATATGATATGTGTGCATGGAAACGTTTATCATCTGCACACAATGAACTCGTCCTTTTTCTAACCTTTATAAACGGAAGACCGGCATTGAAATTTCATATTGTTGTCTGCCAGCAACCGAGACGGACGTTTGCCAGTACGCTATCATCTTTAGCCTTGACTCACGTACAGTTCGCGGTTTGTGTTTACAAAGGTAATTGAATACACCTTGCTTTCAAAGCTATATCTTAGACACTGTCATATTGTAAAATAATGAAGATGAAGTATTTTTTGGTTGAGATAACAAAAAATAATGCTATCCTTATGATATAGTACTGGTATAATTTGCAACCGAGACCACAACATCGAACTTACTATGCATTTATCAAGTAGAAAGTCTGTTGTTAATTTTAAGAACTTCTACACAAATTTTTTATTTTATTTTGTTTGTAGAATGGAATCGAAACAAAACTTTCTGAACAGTGTGAAGACACTGTCTGAGTTGGAAACTTGGGCCACTGCTAACAATTGTACAGATGATCCAGAAGTCAATCTCAAACGAATTGAATTGTTGACATCCAGAGTGAATGCACAATCTGTATCTACACCAGTGTCGCCCATAGGTAACATTTGTCACATCTGCCAGAAGTCGTTTAAGCAGCGTCAAAATTTGCTTAGACATATTCGTACTGTTCACGGCAATGAAAAAATCACCTGTAAAGAATGTAAACACTCATTCACCAGACGGGATAACTTGGAAAATCACCGCTGTAACCTTAAACGGAAGTCAACACAGACTTGCCCTGAACCGAAACGTCCATGCTTACAACCACTGTCAACTGATAATACTCCACCGGCTCGAGTAGCAACTTGTAACTGGTGTGGTCACACCAAGTGTTTATTACCCGGCAAGCTCTTTTGTCAACAATGCTCAACAAGAGGTCGGGAATGTCTCAATTGTCGGCGACCTCTCCCTGAGCGGTTTTACAGCCAGCAAGTGGATCAATGTGATAGCTGCGTGAGACGTCGGGAGCGGTACCAGGTCAGGCGAAACCAGATTGGGGGAGGTCAGAGGTCAGCTCTTGATGGTAGTGTGTCAACTATAACACTGACTCCCACAGATGTAAACAGCGTTGACATCCTTCAGTTTTTAGCTGATGAACAGGTTAACATTGAATCAATCTTACATGATTATTTGTCAAGTAAAAAAGGTATGAAATGGTTTCTGACGTTAAAACTCAAATTTATAAAGTACGACGAAAACAATGAAAGTATATTAGCAGAGCCCATTCTGAGAACTATCAACTTTTGGTCCACAAACGTTTCTGAAATTGAGCAACAGTTAGCAGAGGCTTATCAGAAATTATATACATCATCACAGGAATTTCAGGCTGAAGGGAGTGGGTGGGTGCTAGACCATATTATTCATGTTGAAGTGAGCACAGCTGAGTATGCCCCCCTGGCCGCAAGTTCTTACATTCCTCTACCTGATTATCTCGCTGACAAGAAAGCCATTTTGAACATAAAGAATGATGATCAAAAGTGTTTCATATGGTCCATACTAGCTGTCCTGCATCCAGTAGATAGAAAAAATCATCCTGAAAGAGTTAAAAAATATAATGCGTATGAACATGAACTTGACTTGAAAGGCATTGATATACCTGTATCCCTCTCCCAAATTTCAAAATTTGAAAAGCAAAATGACATTTCTGTCAATGTATTCGGTTATGAAGAAGATGATGGCGTGTTCCCGCTACATATAAGTTCAAATAGTTTCAATCCAGCAGTAGATTTGTTGCTTCTAAGTCAGGAAGACAAAAGACACTTTTGTCTAATTTGAAGCTTTAGTCGACTGATGGGAGACAGGACCAAACATCATGGTACCACATATTATTGTAAACGATGTCTCCATGGGTTTACTGGGTCAGATTTATTGAAAGATCATAGTCTTCACTGTTCCACTCACTCTATTCAGAAAACTAAGTTACCTCAAAGTGAGAAACAAACATGGGTGAAGTTTAAAAGTATTTGCAAACAGCTGCGTGTACCCTATGTCATTTACTGCGACTTTGAAGCAATAACACGAAAAGTGAGTGGTTGTCAGCCTTGTCCTAACTACTCTTATACTTCAGTCTTTCAGAAACATGAACCCTCTGGTTTCTGCTGTAAGGTAGTTTGTTCAAATCCAGACTATTATCAACCTGCTGTGGTCTACAGAGGACCCAGTGTCATTTCTCATTTCATAGATTGTCTCCTGAAGGAGGAACAATTAATAAATGAAAAACTGAAAGTCCTAGAGCCTATGTCTCTAACAGAAAGTGATGAGATGGCTTACCAAATGGCTGACACATGCCATATTTGTCAAAAACCTTTTAATTCTGAGTCCATAAAAGTGAAGGATCACAACCACGTTCAGCCTGGCTACAACTTTCGTGGAGCAGCTCATCAGGAATGTAATCTCCAATACCAGTTCAAAAAGATAAAAGGTAAAAACCAGAATCGTGATAAAGAGTTTTTCATACCTGTGGTCTTTCATAATCTCCGTGGCTACGATAGCCATTTGATTATGAAACAACTGAATAAGACTGTCAAAGAAAAACTTGACTGCTTGGCCAACAACATGGAAAAATACATTTCCTTTTCTATTGGTAACCTCAGGTTCATTGACTCTTTACAGTTTCTTAATGCATCTCTAGATACCTTGGTGGAAAACTTGGCTGATGAAGGTTCTGACAAATTTGTGAATTTGAGACAGGAATATCCTGATGAAACGCAATTGAAGTTATTGTTGAGAAAAGGGGTGTACGCCTATGACTTTATGGATGACGAGTCTAAATTTGCAATGTGTGAACTTCCCACCCAAAATCACTTCTCCAATACTTTGACTGATAGTTCTATCTCAGAGGAAGACTATGTGCATGCTCAAAACGTATGGTCTACCTTTGATCTCAAAACCATGGGAGACTATCATGATCTCTATATGAAAACTGATGTTCTCTTATTAGCTGACATTTTTGAAAATTTTAGAGACACTTCCTTGGAATATTATCAACTTGATCCAGCTCATTATTATACTCTTCCTGGCATGGGATGGGATGCCATGCTGAAAATGGGCAATGTAGAGTTAGAATTGCTAACTGATTTAGACATGCATTTAATGATTGAAAACGGACTAAGGGGTGGCATATCCATGATCTCGACCAGGTATGCGGAAAGTAACAATCCTACATGTTAAGGAATATAACCCCAGCGATCCTAATTCTTACCTCATCTATCTGGATGCGAACAACCTGTATGGGTGGGCCATGTCTCAAGCCCTACCTGAATGTGACTTTCATTGGGTTGCTGATGATGATTTAGAACAGTTAAACATTAAAGATGTAGCTTCTGACTCTGACATAGGATATATACTGGAGGTAGATCTTGAATATCCCCAACAGTTACATGACAGTCACAATGATTATCCTTTAGCCCCAGAGTCTATGACAATCACTGATGACATGTTGTCTCATTATTCAAAGAAACTCAGAGAAAAGTTATGTATCAAAGGACAGCCTGTCAGAAAACTAGTTCCAAATCTGTATGATAAGCAAAAGTATGTTCTGCATTACAGGAACTTACAGTTTTATCTGAGTCAGGGTATGAAACTGTCTAAAATTCACAGAGCTATTCAGTTCAAACAGTCCACATGGTTGAAGCCCTATATAGATTTTAATACCCAGAAAAGAAAAGAGGCTAAGAACGAGACAGATAAAGCTTTCTTTAAATTGGCTAATAACTCAGTGTTTGGAAGGACAATGATGAATGTGAGGAAGCATGTCAATGTAGAACTAGTCAATTCATCCAAACGTTTGAAAAAATTATGTGCTAAACCCACCTTTGAGGCGTTCAAAATATTCAATGAAGATTTAGCAGCTGTTCATCTGAAAAAGACTAGCTTGTATCTGAATCAACCTGTCTATGCAGGCTTTTCTATTTTGGACCTGTCAAAGATTGTCATGTATGACTTTCACTATAATCATATTAAGCTCAAGTATCGTGAGAAGGCACAGCTGTGTTTCACAGATACAGATTCCTTGTGCTATTTAATTGAAACACCAAACTTGTACGCTGATATGGCAGAACATCGGCATATGTTTGACACCAGTAACTATGATAAATCACATCCACTCTATTCCAAAACCAATGCCAAGGTGCTAGCCAAGATGAAGGATGAACTCGGAGGTGTCCCTATGGAGGAGTTTGTTGGTCTTAAACCTAAACTATATTCCTTATCATATAAGGGAAAAGAGAAGCAAACGGCTAAGGGAGTGAGCAAAACAGTGATCAAGAAACAATTAAGGCACAGCCTGTACAAAGATTGTTTGTTTGATCAAAAACAATTTAGACACAACATGAATCAAATTCAGAGTCAAAACCATCAACTCCACACTGTCAGTATAAACAAAATCAGTTTAAGCCCTTATGATGATAAAAGATTTGTTTTGAAAGATAAGATTCATACGTTAGCTCATGGACACTATAAAATTCCTTCTACCAATGTGTAAAGTGTTTTAACTACATAAGAACCATTTCATGCCTTCAGTGTTCTTGTATTGTATGTTTGTATATAACGATCCTTGGTAAAATGTTTCCTATATTTTATCTACATCTGTATGCATGTCATATGTAATTAAACTTTCATATGTATTTGTTATGAGGTATTATTCTGTCACCTACCGAGTGTAAATACCTGACCCATTTCCCCCAGTAACAGCATTCACAGCAATGTTGACACAGTACATAGTTTTATTGCAACTGGGGAAGGTAACGTTTACTGTACTGAGGGTCTATGGACTTTATGTGATTAAAACATTATGTTGCTTGTTGTACCTTTGAATGACTTATATGTGAATAAATATACACATTAAATGTCGATTGTCTGTTATTTTTGTTGTTGTTGAACACTTGCTGAGGGAATTTCTTACTGCAATGATAATCCTACAGCTATTCTGTATCAGTTTCATCACAAGGATTGATGTAATTACATATGAAAAACAGACAGAAATGTAAAACTGTTAACACACGGTTTATTTCATTAAAACCCAAAATTAAATATTAAGACAATAACAGTAAAAATGTACATGGAGTGATTATTCAGTGTCTGTGTCATCATCATCATCAACATCTAACTGTTCACGCTCTTGATCTTCAGCCTCAGAAAGATCTACATGAGACAGAATGTTTTTGACAACAGGTTTCATCCACTTGTTGATTTTAGCAGACAATCCTTTGGAATCAATATCGGGATCCATAGCTCTCACTTTCTCCAGGATAGGCTTGAAGAGGGGTCCATATCCAAAGTAACTCACATATCGGATAGCTGTTGCCATTCGATCTAGAAAGGTAGCTTCCCAGCATTTCTTGAGCTTGTTTTCAATCCATCTCTCACTTTTCCCCTGATCTTCATACTCCTCTTTCTTCTTAAAGACATCATCTTGGCAGTGCTTTAGAGTGTGTTTCCACATGTATTCTAAGCCTTTCACCTCCCACTCTTTATCAGCTTCACTGAATTTAGAGGTCATTGTAGGCTGTAGAACATCACTTTCATCAGCTGTCTCCATTTTAACTCGTTTCCTTAGGGGTCCCCCTCCATTCTCAGGGCACCATGATCTGACATGACGCTGAAGGTCATGATTATTTTCAAACACAATACCACACTCGTCACAGGAAGGCATAGTTGCAGTGTCGTCCTCTGATTCACTGTCCACTGGAGCGGCTACTTCTGAGATGTGATCTCTTCTGGTGTCTGGCTTCAAATGATACTGATTGACAGCCTGCTCCTCTTTTATGGGCTGTGGGGTGATGACTGTTTCAAGTACATTAGGTTGTAGTCTTCCCGATTCCAAGGTAGTAGGACGCAAATCGATTGTCAGATTGCCATAGGGTTTTTCAACAGCTTCTTTATACACAGACATAAACCGATCAGCATTGTTTGGATAGATGCGCCTGGCAAACAAGTTGACTTGATGTCTGTCCACAGGGGAATTAAACAGTGTCACGTAATGAGAATTCAAAGCAATGTAACGTGACTCCTTACCTCTGGGAAACAGATTTTGTAACAGTAAGAAAATAATGACGTTCTTATGGTGAGAGGTTCGGGTGAACAGTTGGGAGATGCGTTTATCATCTTTAGCCTCTGACATGAGGTCATCCAGTACAATCATGTTGTTATTCCGTGCATCCAGATAGTTATCCTCGTGCAGGTTGTAAGGAATCCCCTTCACAAACGTCACATATGGTAACTGTTCACTGATTATCTGATACAGAGGCTGCCACTCCATATAACACCAGATAATGTTATTGGGTACAGGTTGGATGCGATTCTGTAGTAAAATGTTGTACACAAACATAGTCTTGCCACTTCCGCTTGGACCCACCAACACAGTATTGGATGGAATGGTAAAGTAGAACTGTTCTTTTAGTGCTGGAGGAGGTGGAGGAGGAGGAGACGTGGGAGGAGGAGGAGGAGGAGGAGGAGGTGAGGTTCCCAGAGGAGGAGGAGGAGGAGGTGAGGTTCCAGGAGGAGGAGGAGGATATGAATGCATCTGTCTCCTATGTCTATGCATATTATCATTTCTAGAGAACTGTCTCCCACAATCAGGACACGATGTGGACTCCATGAGGATAGAAATGCAACTGACACTGGAATAAGAGGAAGACCCTTATATATTTTCCAGGTCAGTCTCTGGGATCCAACTGTTAAACTTTTTAGGATAGCCCATCCATTTCACAAACATCTCTTTAACACCAGCTCGCTTCCGTTTCTTTAAAACCTTCTCCACTCTCCATACAGTGTCTGCAGGCTTGTCTACTCTCTGTAGTTCATTTGCATAGAAACTGCCTTGAACCGGATCATCAGCCATATCTTTCAACAGATAGATAGGCATACCATCACGATAGAACCTTCTTCTAATAATAAAGATTTCCTCAGTCCATTTTTCTTGATAGTCTCTTTGAAATGTATGTCTCAAATGAGAGAGTCTCACTTGATCGCCCACTTTAAATTTAAAGGGTTTCTTCATTGACTTCTGTTTGATTTCAGCTTTTGATTTGACTGGTCTCGTCAAAGTGTCAATGTATTGTTCTTTCCATACCAGAGCTTCATTCGTTTGATTAATATCTGAGGGTGATCTTTCATTCAATGATCTGTGAGGTCTGTGGTTATAATCCCGGACGAGGTCTTGTAAAATATCCAAATAATGATACGTTTGTTTGTAGGTGAAATATCTGTACATCGTGGTCTTGAGGGTCCGTATCACTCTCTCGGCATAAGAAGCCTTGGTTTCATTCTGTGTGACATAGTAAGTGATGCCCTTGTTTCTTAAATAAGACCTCATTTTCTTATTTTCAAATTCTCGCCCTTTGTCTGATTGTATAATTTGTGGCAGGGTAGCACGGGAAAATATCTTCTTCAAGTCCTTAATGACCGCATCTAGTGTTTTATTTTTAAGGGACTCAACCCACAGAAAACGTGTAAATACATTTATAGCTATGAGTAAGTATTTCACACCATCATTGTCCGAGGCTATATTAGATACATCAGCCAAGTCAATATCCCATCGAGCATTGAGGCCTGAAGCCACCACTCTGTTCCGCTTGAACTTGTATCTTAAAGGTCGCTGAAGCGAATAGGCATCTTGGGATGTCAACCACTTCTTTATGTGATGCAAACTAATATCAAATTTCCTCTCCTTTTTCACAATGTGATACAACTTAGCAGGCCCAGAAAAGGAGGCTGGGTGTTTGGGATTCAAATAAATACTAGACAAATATGCTTTCCATCCGTCAGCAGGCATGGTTACACGTGAAATGAAGCCCACACGATGTAAATAGAGCTTATATGTTTATCCACTTCATAGCCTATCAAAACTACAGAGACGGGCCTAGGTTACCTTCAATAACAAATGTGCTTGTGTGTTTATGTTAACCCGTGGATACAGAGGACTGCCTTCCTCGAAGGTTTGTTTACACAACTGTTTGCCTTCAGTGGAGAAGACTGTTATGTGACCTAGTTCGTCCTCGTGTTTACAGTAACAAAACAATTCTCCTTTACCTATGCAACTAATGTAAACATAGAAGAACTGGCAACATTGCACCCTTTCTATTTTAAAGGAATTTTTATAATACTATTGTTTAGTTTTAATTATACTGATTAGGCTATGTTTGAATGTATAACCGTTGGTCTATCTTAAGCCAAGGTTTTCCCAGATTGCAACACAACCTGTAATGTACTACGCAGTTAAGCTATTTTTAGCGTGACGTCATTCTAATACCTCCGTGACTCGGGTCAATGGGTGCGATCCTGGGGCAGAACGCCCAATGTTCTTTCATCATGTCTATAGGAAAACAGCGACACACCTCCATTGATCAAGAGTGCACAGCATCACAAGTGGCATCATAACACCAACATGTATCTTCAATAGCGATCATATTGTTTTCGTTAGAAAAAAAGAGGAAACTTTCGATCAAGGGAATTCCCTGTAAAATCGATGACGTCATTGGGAAACATTCAGCTTATGTTATCTCCGTCACGAAAGAGGCCACTGTATTAGATAAAAGTGTCGTACGTAAGATAATGTTGTCAGACAGTTTCAAGAATAGTTATTTTTCCAGTCTTAATTTTAGTCACAAATCAGTACAGGACATCTAGGACATGTAGCAGATCGTTACAGGACGTCAAGGACATGTAGCTGATCGTTACAGGACATCAAGGACATGTAGCTGATCGTTACAGGGCATCCAGGACATGTAGCTGATCGTTACAGGACATCAAGGACATGTAGCAGATCGTTACAGGACATCAAGGACATGTAGCAAATCGTTACAAGACATCCAGGACATGTAGCAGATCGTTGCAGGACATCAAGGACATGTAGCTGATCGTTACAAGACATCCAGGACATGTAGCTGATCGTTACAGGACATCAAGGACATGTAGCTGATCGTTACAGGACATCCAGGACATGTAGCTGATCGTTACAGGACATCAAGGACATGTAGCAAATCGTTACAGGGCATGCAGCTGATCGTGACAGGACATCTAGGGCGTGCAGCTGATCGTGACAGGACATCTAGGGCGTGCAGCTGATCGTTACAGGACATCTTGGACATACAGCTAATCGTTGCGTGACATATTGCTGATGGTTACAGGACGTGTAGCTGATGGTTACAGGACATCTAGGATGTGCAGCTGATGGTTACAGGACGTGTAGCTGATGGTTACAGGATGTGCAGCTGATGGTTACAGGACGTGCAGCTGATGGTTACAGGACATCTAGGATGTGCAGCTGATGGTTACAGGACATCTAGGATGTGCAGCTGGTGGTTTCAGGACATCTAGGATGTGTAGCTGATCGTTACAGGACATCTGGGACATACAGCTGATCGTTGCGTGACATATTGCTGATGGTTACAGGGCGTGTAGCTGGTGGTTACAGGATGTGCAGCTGATGGTTACAGGACGTGCAGCTGATGGTTACAGGACATCTAGGATGTGCAGCTGATGGTTACAGGACATCTAGGATGTGCAGCTGGTGGTTACAGGACATCTAGGATGTGTAGCTGATCGTTACAGGACATCTGGGACATACAGCTGATCGTTGCGTGACATATTGCTGATGGTTACAGGGCGTGTAGCTGATGGTTACAGGATGTGCAGCTGATGGTTACAGGACGTGCAGCTGATGGTTACAGGACATCTAGGATGTGCAGCTGATGGTTACAGGACATCTAGGATGTGCAGCTGGTGGTTACAGGACATCTAGGATGTGTAGCTAATCGTTGCAGGACATCTGGGACATACAGCTGATCGTTGCGTGACATATTGCTGATGGTTTCAGGACGTGTAGCTGATGGTTACAGGATGTGCAGCTGATGGTTACAGGACGTGCAGCTGATGGTTACAGGACATCTAGGATGTGCAGCTGATGGTTACAGGACATCTAGGATGTGCAGCTGGTGGTTACAGGACATCTAGGATGTGTAGCTGATCGTTACAGGACATTTGGGACATACAGCTGATCATTGCGTGACATATTGCTGATGGTTACAGGGCGTGTAGCTGGTGGTTACAGGACATCTAGGATGTGCAGCTGATGGTTACAGGACGTGTAGCTGATGGTTACAGAATGTGCAGCTGATGGTTACAGAACGTGTAGCTGATGGTTACAGGACATCTAGGATGTGCAGCTGATGGTTACAGGACATCTAGGATGTGCAGCTGATGGTTACAGGACATCTAGGATGTGCAGCTGATCGTCACAAACCTTGTGGGGACTCCGGGTTAGAATTATCCCCCAGCATCCCATGCTGGTCGGAAGGAGCCACACATGGATCGGTGGATAGGCAAGGTTGACCCATGATGTGGGCCGTTGCTCACAATGTCAAGCAGTAGAGTGTCTGGTCCAGACTCGACTATTGCTGAGTGCGACGTCAAACAAAAACAACTCATCGTAACTCAAGATTCGTGTTGGTGGTTTTATTTGATCATATTCCTCAAGAATCCTAAGTTGGCGGGGGCAAGTGTGAAATGCACTGACATATGACGAGGCATTATTTTATTGGCTGATTGGTATCTGCCAACACCGTCCTCCAGCTAAGCTAAGGTGATCCAGGAAGCAAATTAACACCGTGTTTATATGAATCATACTTTGTCTTTCAAGGAATTGTACTTTCTGTTTCTACGTTCAGGCTTGTGAATCACACGACGGGCCACACCCGTTAATAATTAGGGCAGTTTCATTGCTCGCCTCCTAGCGACGAATCCACCAACGCTTCCATGAGATATTTCGATCACTGTTACATACAGTATATAATCCAAACACCTTCTTACCCGCAATTCATTGTTTCAAGAGGCATCGCTGAACATTATATTTGGACGTAACACCTTACAAAAACCTGATTTTCTAAAAACAACCCCATAATGCATTCAACAGATATACATATACCTTGCAGGAGACATACTTGTACATTTTCTCTGAACTGCTCATTTTCTCATAACTCTCCATTCCTTAAAAATAATGGAGCAGAGCCCCCGCAGGGGCCGAGGCCCATGATTTTTAAGGAATGGAGAGTTACGAGGATATTCCCCTACTTAAAACTCATCCCTACTTTTACACTTTGACAAAATATTCTGTAGTTGAAAATATTTGAAAAATCCAAATGCTGCTTCAAGATAATGTACAGTTGACAAGCAACTCTCCATTCCTGAAAAATAATGGAGCGTTCAAACAATAGAATGACGTCAGAGATGTGTTTTAACTTGTGATATGATGGATTCCCAAACGAAAGGAAAACAGATATACCGACTGTCTCGCAATAGTGCTGCGCATATTCGAGGGAAATCCACGTTACCGAGTTCTATATTTAGCTTGGGACTTCCTACTGCTCTCCCATAAAAATGTGAGGGAGCGAGCGACCACAGCACAAAGCCGGACGACCCAGACGGACTCGGTGAGCAAGGTAGTTATCCTTGGAAAATATCTTGTATCTTTTTTTATTTCTATACAATGTATGTATGTATGTGTGTGTGTGTGTGTGTGTGTGTGTGTGTGTGTGTGTGTGTGTGTGTGTGTGTGTGTGTGTGTGTGGAATATTGATGTATTTATTGCAATTTATTTTCTTATGTGTATCTGACGATTTGTAAATAGTATTCTCATGCGAGATAAGGTAAATTGAGTGTGGCGCTAGACAGGGAATAAGTGAGTGGGTGAGTTTGATTTTAAGCCGCATTTAGAAATATTCAAGCACTATCACGGCGTGAAATGAACTTCACACATTGTTCTCATGTCGAGAATCGAACCCGAATTTTCGGCGTGACTAGCGAACGCTTTAACCACTAGGCTACCCGACCGCCCCAACAGGGAAAAAGGTTCTTCACAGTGATAGTAAAGAGTTAGACAGGATGTCATTGTTAGCGGTACCTTTCACTGCGATAGTAGACAGTTAGACAAGAGGTCATAGCTAGCGGGACCTTTCACTACGACAGTAGACAGTTAGACATGATGTCATGGTTAGCGGGACCTTCACTGAGACAGTAGACAGTTAGATGGGATGTCATGGTTAGCGGGACCTTCACTGCGACAGTAGACAAGATAGGATGTCATGGTTAGCGGGACCTTCACTGCGACAGTAGACAGTTAGACAGAATGTCATGGTTTGATGAACCTTCACTGCGACAGTAGACAGTTAGACAGGATGTCATGGTTAGCGGGACCTTCAATGCGGCAATAGACAGTTAGACATGGGGTCATGGTTAGCGGGACCTTCACTGCGACAGTTGACAGTTAGACATGGGTCATGGTTAGCGGGACCTTCACTGCGACAGTAGACAGTTAGACATGGGTCATGGTTAGCGGGACCTTAACTGCGACAGTAGACAGTTAGACATGGGTCATGGTTAGCGGGACCTTCACTTCGACAGTAGACAGTTAGACAGAATGTCATGGTTTGATGAACCTTCACTGCGACAGTAGACAGTTAGACAGGATGTCATGGTTAGCGGGACCTTCACTGCGACAGTAGACAGTTAGACAGAATGTCATGGTTTGATGAACCTTCACTGCGGCAGTAGACAGTTAGACAGGATGTCATGGTAAGCGGGACCTTCACGTCGTCAGTTGCGCATTATGTCGAGGAATGCGCTTCGTCTCCGACATTTTCTACGAGAATTCAAATAATGCAGAGATTAATTTTACATTTGATGAAATCAGAATTGAATGTATGACCAATATTTGATAACCAGAATGTAAACATACATACAGTAAACTTCGGTTATAATGAACTCATAGGGACCACTAATATCAATTCGTTATAACCGCAGTTTGTTGTAAGCTTTTGTACAACATATATACAAAAAAGGAAATAGTTGGTTATATCCGTCAGTTCGTTATAAACGTGTTCGTTATATACGTAGTTTACTGTATATCTGCTTACAGGTGCCCTACGTTGACTGCTGCTACTGCATAGAAGACACCCTGACAATGGACGACGGTGAGATGGCTTCTGTGTTAGCTTTAATTCCTACCTTGCGCTTCCGCCAATCCATTGGGGGACCCGACATAACATCGTTAGTTCACTCGGGTCTTTAATAGGAAAATATGCTTAGCTTTGGAAGTAACATAGAATTAATGTTTGTATTCCATAGTTATAGAATTTATAACGCGAGTCCATATCCAATTCATCGCCTTTAGAAATGTTGTAAGACAGGCTTCACACATTGTTTCTCGGCCCCACTACCTACCTCAGCCTTTCACATTACATTCAAATTCTAGCTTCTGATTGGTTGAGGAGCGGCCAGTTATTTTCCATGTTGCCCACTCATGTAACCAACTGAGAAATATATCGGAGCCCACCTCAGGGAACTTCCTCATCTCACATATGTATCGTTGAGCTGAAATGAAGCGCTGTTAATCCGAATGCGTTGGGTAAAGGGAAGTGAGTCGGTGTGCGTCGTATTCCAGCTGTCCAATGACTGAATCAAAGCTGTGTTGTCGAAAGTCTAGAATACCCTGATATGTGGGACTTACTGTGAATGGGTATCCAGCTGTCCAATGACTGAATCAAAGCTGTGTTGTTGAAAGTCTAGAATACCCTGATATGTGGGACTTACTGTGAATGGGTATCCAGCTGTCAGAATGACTGAATCAAAGCTGTGTTGTTGAAAGTCTAGAATACCCTGATATGTTGGACTTACTGCGAATGGGTATCCAGCTGTCAGAATGACTGAATCAAAGCTATGTTGTTGAAAGTCTAGAATACCCTAATATGTGAGACTTACTGCGAATGGGTATCCAGCTGTCAGAATGACTGAATCAAAGCTGTGTTGTTGAAAGTCTAGAATACCCTGATATGTGGGACTTACTGTGAATGGGTATCCAGCTGTCCAATGACTGAATCAAAGCTGTGTTGTCGAAAGTCTAGAATACCCTGATATGTAGGACTTACTGTGAATGGGTATCCAGCTGTCCAATGACTGAATCAAAGCTATGTTGTTGAAAGTCTAGAATACCCTGATATGTGGGACTTACCGTGATTGGGTATCCAGCTGTCAGAATGACTGAATCAAAGCTATGTTGTTGAAAGTCTAGAATACCCTTATATGTGGGACTTACTGTGAATGGGTATCCAGCTGTCCAATGACTGAATCAAAGCTGTGTTGTTGAAAGTCTAGAATACCCTGATATGTAGGACTTACTGTGAATGGGTATCCAGCTGTCAGAATGACTGAATCAAAGCTGTGTTGTTGAAAGTCTAGAATACCCTGATATGTGGGACTTGTTGATGGAGGATGGGGTTCTTTCTTTCAAGGGTATTTATATTATTGAATATAAAGAGGATCAAACAATTTACATTGACCTTTGTTTTCAAACAACATATGCCAAAGACAGTGAGCTGGTTCACGGTATTCCAAAATAACAGCGACAGACCCTAACCATAACCATAAGAAATCTCCGCCAGAAGCAGAGTCGATTGTACAACTCGGACTATATCATGAACATGTGTTTATAAATCACTATCGAATAGTCATGATACCAGGTGTTCGGGAAAAGGTGAGCGTATCCTGCCCCAACGGTGACACCCGTCACAAACACATGCAAAGGCAAAGCAAATGTTCTGAGAAATCACGGGTAAGGATTAGGGTTAGGACACCCACGACCGCAATATAAAAGATTAACTAGATACATGTTTCTGGCACCTGTTCCTGGTTGTAAAATCAGCATCTTGGAGATATGTAACCACGATGAGTATGAATGATTTGAGGTTGGAGCCGCTTGGGACATTATTTCGATTGTAATTTTGCGTGTCAGCGTTATATAAGCGGGCAGTAATGCAGGTCGTGGACTACGTGCATTGGCTACTTGCCGGGCGGTTTGTCCAGCTTGAAATCGTCCAAGGGCTTGGTGTCAATTCAATAATAAATGAATGGTATCCGATCTGGGTGAATTTTTATAGGGCAAGAAATGGGGGAACGCGTGTGCATTTCAACTTGCACGGAGCTCACGTGTATCGGGTTACCATGGCCTTTGCCGTGATGCGTTTGGGCGATCGGTTTTATTGTCATCTGCTTTGGGTTTTTTATAATCAAATTTCATTTTTCCGGACAAGTTGATGTTAAGTTTTGCCAGAAAATACCCAGATATTTAAATGACAACTTTTCATGCAATGTTACTTGGGGTGATGTTTCTTTTGCGGTTCAGCATATTTAACTGTTTTTATGGAGAAATCCTTTTTACAAACATTGAGGAAAGGTAACACATACTTTTATCATTATCTGTCATATGTTCAGTGCCGTTGAAAAAATAGGGTAAAATATCTGTTGGCAGTCTGTTAGCATGGTCCAGACTCCTCGCAACTCAGCCTTGCTATAGTGTTGGTGGCTTATAGCCACTGAAGTGTTAGGCTGAGGTAACTAGTTATAGCAGTAAAACGACTTCTAAAACCCGTTACAACAAATACACGTACTTCAGAAATTGTTTTCGTGGGTTAAAGGTTAGAATTACAGATTAGATGTGAACAGAGGGAAAAGGAATATCACCTTCTCAAAGAATAAAAAGATGGACAGGTGCGTAACAGTCAATAAGCGACAACCTAACTCTCAATACTACGTCTGACTAAATAGACCTTAGGAAGACAATTTCATGTCAGATGTAGGTTACTCTTAGTGTCAGATGCAGGCAACTGTTCACCTCCAGCTCAATGTGTCTCACCCTGTGCATTAATGCAGGCCTGGCACCTCCATCTCAATGTGTCTCACCCTGTGCATTAATGCAGGCCTGGCACCTCCATCTCAATGTGTCTCACCCTGTGCATTAATGCAGGCCTGGCACCTCAAACTCAATGTGTCTCACCCTGTGCATTAATGCAGGCCTGGCACCTCCATCTCAATGTGTCTCACCTTGTGCATTAATGCAGGCCTGGCACCTCCATCTCAATGTGTCTCACCCTGTGCATTAATGCAGGCCTGGCACCTCCATCTCAATGTGTCTCACCCTGTGCATTAATGCAGGCCTGGCACCTCCAACTCAATGTGTCTCACCCTGTGCATTAATGCAGGCCTGGCACCTCCAACTCAATGTGTCTCACCCTGTGCATTAATGCAGGCCTGGCACCTCCATCTCAATGTGTCTCACCTTGTGCATTAATGCAGGCCTGGCACCTCCATCTCAATGTGTCTCACCCTGTGCATTAATGCAGGCCTGGCACCTCCAACTCAATGTGTCTCACCTTGTGCATAAATGCAGGCCTGGCACCTCCATCTCAATGTGTCTCACCCTGTGCATTAATGCAGGCCTGGCACCTCCAACTCAATGTGTCTCACCCTGTGCATTAATGCAGGCCTGGCACCTCCATCTCAATGTGTCTCACCCTGTGGCTTTGACCCATGATATAACCTGACTTTGACCCCGACCCATGATATAACCTGACTTTGGCTTTGATCCTTGCTATAACCTGACTTTGACCCGGACCCAGGATATAACCCGACTTTGACCCTGACCCATGATATAACCTGACTTTGGCTCTGATCCATGATATAACCTGACTTTGGCTCTGACCCATGATATAACCTGACTTTGACCCAGACCGAGGATATAACCTGACTCTGACCCTGACCCAGGATATAACCTGACTTTGGCTCTGACCCATGATATAACCTGACTTTGGCTTTGATCCTTGATATAACCTGACTTTGGCTTTGATCCTTGATATCACTTGACTTTGGCTCTGACCCATGATATAACCTGACTTTGGCTTTGATCCTTGATATAACCTGACTTTGACCCTGACCTATTATTTCAACTGAGCCTGACCCTGACCTATGATTTCAGTAACTGGGGGGTTCATAGGCTTAAGAGACATCACGTTGGTGTTAAATAATATGTTGAGGGTGTATGTATGTCTGGAGGGTGTATGTATGTAGTTCTCGAAAAGACACAGTGTTACCATATATATTTTAGTTAGTTTTCAGTCATTAAATAACTAAAAAACATGTTGACATAAGAAAGCCTTTAATCACTTTTGATCCTTGATATAACCTAACTTCGGTTCTGACCAATCATATAACCTGACTTTGGCTCTGACCCATGATATAACCTGACTTTGACCCCGACCGAGGATATAACCTGACTTTGACCCAGACCGAGGATATAACCTGACTCTGACCCTGACCAAGGAAATAACCTGACTTTGATCCCGACCCATGATATAACCTGACTTTGGCTCTGATCCATGATATAATCTGACTTTGGCTCTGACCCATGATATAACCTGACTTTGGCTCTGACCCAGGATACAACCTGACTTTGACCCCGACCAATGATATAACCTGACTTTGGCCCCGACACATGATATAAACCGACTTTGGCTGTGATCCATGATATAACCTGACTTTGGCTTTGATCCTTAATATAACCTGACTTTGGCCCCGACCCATGATATCACCTGAATTTGGCTTTGATCCTTGACATAACCTGACTTTGACCCCGACCCATGATATAACCTGACTTTGGCCCCGACCCATTATATAGCCCGACTTTGGCTTTGATCCTTGATATAACCTGACTTTGACCCTGACCCATGATATAACCTGACTTTGGCTTTGACCCATGATATAACCTGACTTTGGCTCTGACCCAGGATATAACCTGACTTTGACACCGACCCAGGATATAACCTGACTTTGACCCTGACCCAGGACATAACCTGACTCTGACCCTGACGCATGATATAACCAGACTTTGGCTCTGACCCATGATATAACCTGATTTTGGCTTTGATCCTTGATATAACCTGACTTTGACCCCGACCCAGGATATAACCTGACTTTGGCTTTGATCCATGATATAACCTGACTTTGACCCCGACCCATGATATAACCTGAATTTGGCTTTGATCCTTGCTATAACCTGACTTTGACCCCGACCCATGATATAACCTGACTTTGGCTTTGATCCTTGATATAACCTGACTTTGACCCCGACCCATGATATAACCTGACTTTGGCTTTGATCCTTGATATAACCTGACTTTGGCCCCGACCCATGATATAACCTGACTTTGGCTTTGATCCTTGATATAACCTGACTTTGACCCCGACCCAGGATATAACCTGACTTAGGCTTTGATCCATGATATAACCTGACTTTGGCTCTGACCCATGAGATAACCTTACTTTGAACCCGACTCATGATATAACCTGACTTTGACCCCGACCAATGATATAACCTGACTTTGGCTTTGATCCTTGATATCACCTGACTTTGGCTCTGACCCATGATATAACCTGACTTTGGCTTTGATCCTTGATATAACCTGACTTTGACCCTGACCTATTATTTCAACTGAGCCTGACCCTGACCTATGATTTCAGTAACTGGGGGGTTCATAGGCTTAAGAGACATCACGTTGGTGTTAAATAATATGTTGAGGGTGTATGTATGTCTGGAGGGTGTATGTATGTAGTTCTCGAAAAGACACAGTGTTACCATATATATTTTAGTTAGTTTTCAGTCATTAAATAACTAAAAAACATGTTGACATAAGAAAGCCTTTAATCACTTTCTTCTTGGTGAGTTTTTCACACTCCTTCATTTCAGAGACGGAGAATTTTGAACTGGAGTCCAAAGATAGCGACTATGATGACGGTAAGTCTTCCCTGACGCATCCCATGCCGACAACCGCATCTCTAGCCTACACCCTTCACATCTATACATTAACTTCCCTCATCTCTAGCACACGTCCTATACATCTATACCTAAACTTTACACATATGCAGCCCACGTCCTACACATATATACCTTAAGTTCTCTCATCTCTAGCCCACGTCCTATACATCTATACCTTAACTTTGCACATATGCAGCCCACGTCCTACACATATATACCTTAACTTCACTCATCTCTAGCACACGTCCTATACATCTATACCTTAACTTCACTCATCTCTAGCCCACGTCCTATACATCTATACCTTAACTTTGCACATATGCAGCCCACGTCCTACACATATATACCTTAACTTCACTCATCTCTAGCCTACGTCCTACACATCTATACCTTAACTTCACTCATCTCTAGCCCACGTCCTACTCATCTATACCTTAACTTCTCTCATCTGTAGCCTATGTCCTTCAGATCTATACCTTAACTTCACTCATCTCTAGCCCACGTCCTATACATCTATACATAAACTTTACACATATGCAGCCCACGTCCTACACATATATACCTTAAGTTCTCTCATCTGTAGCCTACGTCCTTCAGATCTATACCTTAATTTCACTCATCGCTAGCCCATGTCCTATACATCTATACCTAAACTTTACACATATGCAGCCCACGTCCTACACATCTATACCTTAACTTCACTCATCTCTAGTCCACGTCCTACACATCTATACCTTAATGTATTTTATCTCTGCCCCACGTCCTACACATCTATACCTTAACTGCACTCATCTCTGCCCAATGTCCTACACATCTATACCTTAATGTCTTTTATCTCTGCCCCACGTCCTACACATCTATACCTTAACTGCACTCATCTCTGCCCAATGTCCTACACATCTATACCTTAACTGCACTCATCTCTGCCCAATGTCCTACACATCTATACCTTAACTGCACTCATCTCTGCCCAATGTCCTACACATCTATACCTTAACTGCACTCATCTCTGCCCCACGTCCTACACATCTATACCTTAACTGCACTCATCTCTGCCCAATGTCCTACACATCTATACCTAATCGTCACTCATATCTGGCCCACGTTCTACACATCCATACCTTAACTGCACTCATCTCTGCCCAATGTCCTACACATCTATACCTTAACTGCACTCATCTCTGCCCAATGTCCTACACATCTATACCTTAACTGCACTCATCTCTGCCCCACGTCCTACACATCTATACCTTAGCTGCACTCATCTCTGCCCAATGTCCTACACATCTATACCTTAACTGCACTCATCTCTGCCCCACGTCCTACACATCTATACCTTAACTGCACTCATCTCTGCCCAATGTCCTACACATCTATACCTAATCGTCACTCATATCTGGCCCACGTCCTACACGTCCATACCTTAACATTTTATCTTTTGCATAATTATAGCTTCGCATTTGTACAGTGTTGAGTAACATATCGTTAAGGATATCTGGACGATTTAACAGAATGTAATCCATGCATACGTAACAGCGGTTACACTCGATGGAATCTGTTGCTGATATTCGAGACAGTTTAGTCACTGTCGTTTATGCTTTGCATTTATCATTTAAGGTTTTGCAAAAGAACTCTACAGCAAGAGGAGTTTTGTCCGAGATGAAATGAGGATTGTCCTGATAGGGAAGACGGGATCTGGGAAGAGTGCCACGGGTAACACTATCACAGGGCAGAAGACGTTTGAGTCCAAGTTGAGCGGATCTTCCGTTACAGCCAGATGTAAAGAAGTCATGTTCAAGAGATCTGACAGACACATTCTGGTCGTGGACACCCCTGGGTTGTTTGATACACACGCATCTAAGGCCGATACAACTAAGGAAATCAAGAGATGTGTGCTGCTGACATCACCGGGCATCCATGCTGTGTTTCTTGTCATCAAAATTGGGAGGTTTACAGAAGAAGAGAATAAAACTGTAAACTATTTCAAGAAGGTGTTTGGAGAGGGAGTGAAGGATTACCTCATGGTTATCTTCACTGGCAAGGATGACTTGGATGCAGAGGAGACCACCGTGGAGAACTATGTGAAGACGGCTCCACCAGAGCTTCAGCGGGTGCTGGCAGAATGCAACAACAGATACATGACTCTCAATAACAGGGCGTCAAAAGAGGAGAAGGAAGCATTTGTAAAACAACTCATTGCCAACATTGACGAAATGGTGCAATCCAATGGCGGTAAATGTTACACAACTGTTATGTTCAAGAAGGCAGAAGCCATAGTGAAGAAACGAGAGGAGGAAGAAAGGAGGAAGCTGGAGGAAGCAAAGAGAGAAGAACGAGAAGCAGTTGCGCGCAGCATCAAGGAAAAGTATGATGGCGTGTTGCAGGATCAGGACATCAAGATGCAGGGTCTGCAGAATCACCTGCAGGTGGTGCAGGAGGCGGGCAAAGAGGAACAGAAAATGCATCAGCAGGCAGTGGAACATCTGAAACAAAAACTCGACAGAACTGAAGCTGAGAGAAAGCAAATTGAGGTTGATAGAAGGAAGTGGGAAGAAGAGAGGAGGAAGGAGATGGAGAAGAAAGAGGAGGACAGGAACAAGGCAATGATTATGATGATGGACAAGATGGAGGAAGATAGAAAGAAGAGAGAACTTGAAATGGAGAAAAAGATGAAACTTTTTGAGAATGAAAGGAAGAAGCGGGAGGAAGATGCAAGGTTGAGGGAAGCTGAGAGGGAAAAAGAAAGAGAGAAACAGAGGCTGGAACTTAAGCAGCTTGAGAAAGAGAGACAAAAGGAGCTTACAAATATGAGAGAAGAACAGAAAAAGCAACAAGATATTTTTCAACGAAGACTTGATGAACAGGCAAGGGAAAATGCAAGAAAACGGTCTGGAGGTGGAAGCTCCTGTTCCATCCTGTGAACACGTCATTCTGATCTGTATCAGTGGACGCTCCTCTTGCTGGTATCCAATGCAAGTCCCACACAGTATACATAAGACTAATAAACTCAACTACTTTTGTTACCTGTCATTTTTAACTCTTTATTCCCGTTTGATAAGTTTGCGTTTAAACCCATTTTTGCCATATGCAGGTCAGGTTATGGAATACTGAATAAATGTAAACCTTGCAAGGGATGCCATGCCATTTGATTGGCTGAACAAGCAATTTTCGAAGGTAGTACACGCCCACCAGCTGATTACCGCTTCCTGATAGGATCTGATAATAAAGTGTTGCATTATTGGGTTCATTTATGTCACTGATTTCGTATGTCTACGGTTTTGTGATTATGTTAATGATTTCATGAGCAGTCTGTGAAGCTATAATGCTAATTATTTATACGATTTGACAACATCATCTGGGGATTTTGTTTTAGAACTGGTATCCCAGCCACCTGTGCTGGTCGTAAGAGGCGACCAAATGGATTGGATGGTCAGGATCGATGACTTTGTTCATAGAGCTTCATCGTACCTGACGGCGTGGAAAGTCGATCACAATATCAATCACTGCATTGTCTGGTCCAGACTCGATGACTTACACAACGCCGTCATACAGCTGGAATATTGCTGAGTGCGGCGATAAACACACAAATAAACATATTTCAATTTGTGTTTGTATTTATAAACGTAAAATCCTATTTCTATCTCGAACATAACTATAAATAAATTTGCCCCACCTGAACTTCTACTGGAAATGAACGACGTGTAGAACTTAACGAGGTCGACCAGAGACAATGCATGGTGCTCTTGACAAGTGAGTGAGGTGGGATTTACGCCGCACTTTTAGCCAAGAAACTGGTCTCAACGAAGGAATTGTCTGAGCTGTTAATATGGCAGTTTGCTATCCATTTCGTAGATGCTTCAAAGGAATATGGTTTATTGTCTTATGTTCTTCCGTACAACATACCCATTATACATGTGTATCTTTGACATTAATCGGAATCCTGTCTACTACATAACAAGAGTGAGGAAAGTAAGGGTGTGGATTCTCTATGATGCATCCTGGTAATACTTGACAAGAGTTTCTGTCTACAAACACTACTGATGCTTGGTGACTCACTTCTGAAAGAAACGTTAAGTTCATTGCAATTATTTTATCACAATGTGTTCCCATTTAAGATCCTTGTAGATATATCGGTGTTTTCTTATGCTCCCAACAACTTAGACTGGAGTTAGAAATAAGTTAGAAGAGGCTGCCCACAAGCCCACCAAATATAAAACACCAAAGCAAGACTATAACCAATCTCGATTATAAAGAAATTCCTTTTGTCTATAATTACAACTGTTTCAAATGTTTGGTGATTATTTACGAAAGAGAAGGTTAAGATTATTAACAACCTTTCTACCAGAACGTGTTGCCATTGCAGATCCTTGGAGAGACCTAGTACCAGGACAGAGAGAGGAATCGATGCCTCACAATGAAGGTTTGTTAATCCACGTATTTCTGATATTCACCTGCGGTCTTTCTTCCCCATGTCAACTACAGCAAATAACTTTATGATAAAATATGTTGAGAAAACTACAAATTGTATTTGAATGTTTTCAGCATTTCTTGAGAGTCTTTATGCCGGGAGGAGTTTTGTGAAGGATGAGACGAGGATAGTTTTAATTGGGAAGACTGGATCTGGAAAGAGTGCCACAGGAAACACACTGGCTGGAACTCAGGCGTTCGTGTCGAAACTCTGCGGTGCATCTATAACCAAACAGTGTCAACAGGAAATGGTGAGAAGGTTCGATCGACATATTCAGATTGTGGACACTCCTGGATTGTTTGACACAGGAATGACAAACGAAATGTCGTCTAGAGAAATCATGAAGTGTGTGGCGATGACCTCTCCTGGACTTCACTCTATTGTCCTGGTTACCAGACTGAACCGTTTTACAGAGGAAGAACAACAGACTGTCCAGTATTTCATGAAGGTCTTTGGGAAAGACGTTTTGAACTACCTCGTTGTTGTTTTCACGGGAAAAGATGACCTGGACCAGCATGGGATGACCATTGAGACCTTTATCCAGGATAGCCCTGGTCCTTTGAGGAAACTGATTGCTGACTGTAAAGGTCGTTACTATGCTCTCAACAACTTCATGTCTGACATTGAGAAGGAAGAATGGGTGAAGCATTTCCTCCAGGGGATTGATAGGCTGGTGTCGTCCAATGGTGGACGATGTTACACAACTGAAATGTATCGTAAAGCCGAATCACTGATGAAAGAACGAGAACAGGAACTGAAGAAGAAACTGGAGGAACAGCAGCAGGCAGAGCGGGAGATGATAGAACAGAGCATCAAGGTCAAGTATGATGAGATGACGCAAAGTCAGGATGAGAAGATGACTGAACTTAAGACACAGCTACAGGCGATGGAACGGAAAGGCTTAGATGACAAGACAAGGTACCAGGGAGCTGTGAATGAGCTGCAGAATAAACTTGCGAAGGCTGATCGGGAGAGGAAGCAGATAGAAGTTGACAGGATAAAGTATGAGGATGAGAGGAGGAAAGAAATGGAGAAAGGAGAGAAAGACAGGGATGAGGCGATGTTAAAAATGATGGATAGAATGGAAGAAGACAGACGAAGAAGGGAGGAGGAATTGAATGAGACCGTGGAGAGAATTGAAGTCGAAAGAAGGGAGAGGGATGCTAAAATTATGAGATTGGAGAAGGAGAATAGAAAACGTGAAGGGGAACATAGAGAGGAGGTGATGCAGCTTCAGAAGAAAAAACAGTCTGAGCTTGAAAAGATGCAGGATGATATGAGGGCTGAGAGGGAATCACAAGCCCGTAGGCTGGAGGAGGTAGCAAGAGGCATGGCAAGGGATGAGGCAAAGGATGATGGGTCGGGCATATTTGCACAACTCGTGGGCGGCATAAAGAAAGTTGCTAGCTTTTTGGGGTTCCTGTAAAGGTGTCTTATGAATTTGCTTAAGAACGAGAATGAATGGTAAGCTTGCATATTGTTGAATGATGTTTTAAGTAGGATAAAGACAGCATTTGCAGGTAAACACGCCTTTAGAATATCAAGTATAATGACTGTTTATGTTTAAAATCAGAACCGCTCCATTATATATAGAGATTTTACTGATTTTACGAAACGAGTATCTGAATTCTTGTATTTTATGAGCGAGAGCGGGGTTAACACATGAATTCTTTCACGAGTTTCCTACAATCAGTATGACGCACTTGCAATAATTTATTTATTACCCATTATTTCTTAATCGTTTTGAGTTTCCTTTGCACTGATCACAACCGCCGCCTTAAAAAAACACGATAGTCGAATGACGTCAGCCATCTGCAGCTATGATGTTGTTTCTAGTGAGACGTCCTTCCGACATGACGTCAGAATAGCATTGGAATGACGGCAAAGATGGCGTAGGGATGACTCAAACAATACAATGGTGCGCGTGAAGTGATATTTGGACTATATTGCACATACAATTTTTATTAACTCGGTTATTTCTAACACAATGGGTAATAATAACACTTATGATAATCTAAATATTCGTCTAATCACTATTTTGGTAGTTTGTGATACTGCAGTGTATTTTAGTTACTTATGTTCTTGGTTTTGTAACAATCACTAGTACTAAATAAATCTTGTTTAACAGTCTAAAATCTCTCTCTTCAATCTATATGGGTGTGATATGTTTAATATTCTTAATCTGTTAGAACCGTCTTTGTTGTCCTGTGGGTTCGAGCCTCGGCCGCGTCATACCAAAATATGTTAACAAATGTTACTTGTTGTTACCCTGCCTGGTGCTCGAGGGGTTAAAACAAGGGCTGGTCGGCTCGGAGTCAGTAGACTGTGTCTGAGTGGGGCATTCATGTTAAACTGCGACTGGTATGTCAGTGGGCTAGCACTATAAAACCGGCATTAGTCCGGACTAGTATAAGCAGAACCACATACGTCGCTATATCAGTGCAATATAATCTAGGACGCGACGTTAAACCCCATTTCACCTAAACTTAATCTGTTACCACCAAACACCTACTCGTGGGGTTCAACGACGATGTAAAGTATCTACTGTCTTCGTCACGTTATGTGTTGAACCTGAAATACGAATTGTAAATAAACAGAAACGCCCGATTGTACTTCACCACACAACACTTTGTACTTCACAACACAACACATTGTAATTCACGATACAGCATATTGTACTTAACCAAAAACCACATCGTACTTCACCACACAACGACACAGTGTACTTCACCACCCGCAACACACTGTACTTCGTCACACAACACATTGCACTTCACGAGACAGCACATTGCACTTTACCACACAACACATTGTACTTCACAAGACAACATATTGTACTTCACCAAACAACACATTGTAATTCACGATACAGCATATTGTACTTAACCACAAACCACATCGTACTTCACCACAAACAACACATTGTACTTAACACACAACACATTGTACTCCACAACAGAACACACTGCTCTCCACCACACAACACATTGTACTTCACAAGACAACACATTGCACTTTTCCCCACAACACATTGTTATGCGCCTCACACAAGACATTCTACTTCACCAGACAACACTACGTACTTCACCACAGCACATTGTTCTTCACAACACACAACATTGCACTCCGTCACACTACACATTGCACTTCACGACAGAACACACTGCACTTCACGACACATCACACTGCACGACACAACACACTGTACTTTACGAAAAACAAACACTGTACTTCACGACACAACACTTTACACTCCACCACACACCACACCCCACTCCACTACACAACATATTGCACTCCACCCCACAACACATTGCCCTCCACCACACAACACATTGCCCTCCACCACACAACACATTGCACTCCACCCACAACACATTGCCCTCCACCACACGACACATTGCCCTCCACCCCACAACACATTGCCCTCCACCACACAACACATTGCCCTCCACCACACAACACATTGCCCTCCACCACACAACACATTGCCCTCCACCACACAACCCATTGCACTCCACCACACAACACATTGCACTCCACCACACAACACATTGCCCTCCACCACACAACACATTGCCCTCCAACACACAACACATTGCACTCCAACACACAACACATTGCCCTCCAACACACAACACATTCCCTCCAACACACAACACATTCACTCCACCACACAACACATTGCACTCCACCACATAACACATTGGACTTCACGAAACAACACATTGCACTCCACCACACAACACATTGCACATCACGACAGAACACATTGCACTCCACCACACAACACATTCACTCCACCACACAACACATTGCACTCCACCACATAACACATTGGACTTCACGAAACAACACATTGCACTCCACCACACAACACATTGCACATCACGACAGAACACATTGCACTCCCCCACACAAGACATTGCACTCAATCCGACAACACATTGCACTCCACCCCACAACACATTGCACTCCACCACACAACACATTGCACTCCACTACACAACACATTGCACTCCACCCCACAACACATTGCCCTCCACCAAACAACACATTGCACTTCACGACAGAACACATTGCACTTCACGACAGAACACATTGCACTTCACCACACAACACATTGCCCTCCACCAAACAACACATTGCACTTCACGGCAGAACACATTGCACTCCACAACACCACACATTGCACTCCACCACACAACACATTCACTCCACCACACAACACATTGCACTCCACCACATAATACATTGGACTTCACGAAACAACACATTGCACTCCACCACACAACACATTGCACATCACGACATAACACATTGCACTCCCCCACACAAGACATTGCACTCAATCCGACAACACATTGCAATCCACCCCACAACACATTGCACTCCACCACACAACACATTGCACTCCACTACACAACACAGTGCACTCCACCCCACAACACATTGCACTTCACGACAGAACACATTGCACTTCACCACACAACACATTGCACTCCACCACACAAAACATTGCACTCCACCACACAACACATTGCACTCCACCACACAACACATTGCACTCCACCACACAACACATTGCACTTCACGACAGAACACATTGCACTTCACCACACAACACATTGCACTCCACCACACAAAACATTGCACTCCACCACACAACACATTGCACTCCACCACACAACACATTGCACTCCACTACACAACACATTGCACTCCACCCCACAACACATTGCACTTCACGACAGAACACATTGCACTTCACCACACAACACATTGCACTCCACCACACAAAACATTGCACTCCACCACACAACACATTGCACTCCACCACACAACACATTGCACTCCACCACACAACACATTGCACTTCACGACAGAACACATTGCACTTCACCAAACGGTACATGGCACTTCACCACAAAACATATTGCACTTCACCAAACGGTACATGGCACTTCACCACAAAACATATTGCACTCCACTACACAACCTATTGCACTCCACCACACAATACAGTTCACTTCACGACAGAACACATTGCACTTCACAACAGAACACATTGCACTCAACCACAAAACACATTGCACTCTACCAAACAACATTTTCCACTTTACGACAGAACACATTGCACTTCACAACACAACACACTGTACTTCACCACACAACAAATTGAACTCTACTACACAACACATTGCACTCTACTACACAACAAATTGCACGTTACGACAGAACACATTGCACTCCACCACACAACACATTGCACTCCACCACAGAACACATTGCACTTCACCAAATGGTACATGGCACTTCACCAGAAAACATATTGCACTCCACTACACAACATATTGCACTCCACCACACAATACAGTGCACTTCACGACAGAAGACATTGCACTTCACGACAGAACACATTGCACTCCACCAAACAACATTTTCCACTTCACGACAGAACACATTGCACTTCACGACAGAACACATTGCACTCCACCAAACAACATTTTCCACTTCACCACAGAACACATTGTACTTCACAACACAACACACTGTACTTCACCACACAACAACACACTGTACTTCACCACACAACAACACATTTTACTTCAACACACAACACATTGTACTCCACCACACAACACACTGTACTTCATCACACAACACACTGTACTTCACCACACAACAACACATTTTACTTCACCACACAACAACACATTTTACTTCACCACACAACACACTGTACTTCACCACACAACACATTGTACTTCCCCATATAACAAATTGAACTTCACCACACACAACACATGGGACTTCACCACACACAACACATGGTACTTCACCACACAACACATTGTACTTCCCCATACAACACATTGTGCTTCACCACACAACACATGGTACTTAACCACACAACACATTGCACTCCACCAAACAACATTGTCCACTTCACGACAGAACACATTGTACTTCACAACACAACACACTGTACTTCACCACACAACAACACACTCTACTTCACCACACAACAACACATTTTACTTCAACACACAACACATTGTACTTCACCACACAACACACTGTACATCACCACACAACACACTGTACTTCACCACACAACACCACATTTTACTTCACCACACAACAAGAAATTTTACTTCACCACACAACACACTCTACTTCACCACACAAAACATTGTACTTCCCCATATAACAAATTGAACTTTACCACACAACACATTGTACTTCACAACACAACACATTGTCCTTTATCACACAACACATTGTGCTTCACCACACAACACATTGAACTTCACCACACAACACATTGTACTTCACAACACAACACATTGTCCTTTATCACACTACACATTGTGCTTCACCACACAACACACTGTACTTCACCACACAACACATTGAACTTCA